GTGTGTGTGTGTGTTTATTTGTATATGTATATTTATATATATATATATATATATATGTGTGTGTGTGTGTGTTTGTTTGGTATATATATATATGTGTGTGTGTGTGTGTGTGTGTTTCTGCCCATATATTTCCGCTATGTTTGGGATGCATGTGAGTGTGTTGCACCGGTGGTGTTGGTGTTGAATATTCTCATCATACCAGGTGACTGCTATCGTGCTGCACTGGGAGTTCCTATCACCTCACCTTCTCATAATGTAGTGGCCAGTGGTTCAAATGGATTCCACTGCTTGCTACTGTGACCTACCACTTAATTTATATATTGATTTTCCATCAGTTCCATTTTTCCGGTCACTATGATCTCGTACTCCTATCCGTTAGTTACCCATGTGCTCTCTCGACTCATTTCTATTTATAACCACCAATCAGAGCACGGCTGGCGGCGGATCTGCTGTTAGATAGTCTGATCAACCACGTGGGTCATCTCCCGTCTGTTAATGGGCCTTCGTCCATCTCGTCATTAGTCACGGAGAAGTCACTGCTCAGAGATCTGGCGGCCCTCAATGGCATGGAATACAACGAGTCCATATTGTATGTGCGGTTTGGTTTTGGGTTGTGCGGAGAGTACATTGAATTGAGTTGAGTGTATGGTGCGAGTGTGTAGAAGAGCATTGTGTGGGGGTGTCAGGTATGTGATGGGACGTGTGAAGGGATGTGTAGGCATGAACTTATGAGTGTACGTATTTATGCATGTGTCAAATATGTATACACCTATCAATATTGGGAATATGAGTATTGGTTTTGTGTGTGTGTGTGTACGTGTGTGTACCTATCTGTTTACATGTATGTTTACATTCATACATCAAAAATGCATACCGCCTCCACACACACGCTCTAAACGCCTATTCAATATAAAAGTTTACACAAGGTAGACATTTTAAATCCCTGAAAATATTTCTGGTTTTTAATATATATATATTTATGTGTGTGTGTGTGTGTGTGTGCAGTGAGTGTATAGTAAGTTGTCCTGTACAACCTCCACACACTTGTGAATAAATACACGCGCATGTGACCTAATCCTCCAGAGTCACCAGTCGTAGTCCTGTTTACACCATATAGTTTTGAAGCTCCCACAAATCTGACAGTGCTGCACATTCCGCACACCCACAGTGAGCATCTGGCACAGCACATGCGGTACTTTGTACTGGACGACGACCGTATCGTTCTCTTCTGCGATGTACCGGGCAGTCGAGCCAAGACAATTAACGAGGAATCGTCCACAGCCGCGGATTCCAATCCTTCTGTGTGGGTATTAGTACGAGAGGTTGGTGGAAGGTTCTGCTTCAAGACGGCCATACGATATGTCAGTGATAACGAGACAAGTGCCGCGGGTCTTGGTGAGGAGAATGGGTCGTTGATGGCTGCGGGTACGTTTGTTGCTGTTGAGTATATATGTTATGTAGATATATTGGAATAAGAATATGTATTTCTTATATAGATATATATGTATATATATATATATATATATATTAAGATATATTAAGATATATACATATATAAATTTGATACTTATCCATATAAATCTAAATTTAATTGTGTGTGTGTACGTGCGTGTGTGCGTGCGTGTGTGCGTGCGTGTGTGCGTGTGTGCGTGTGCGTGAGTGTGTTTATGTTTGTGTGTAATATATATTCACCCTCGAAATCATAAATCTGACACCGATCAGACCCCGATGTACAACAGATACGTTTTGTTCGTTTTTGTGCATGCATGCGTTATGTGTATCAAACATCGCTGTGAACACGTGCCTGGATATACGCAATGTCCGTAACTACATGATATCTTCCGTTGCGTTCGATGCAAAGCACTTTATATTACATACATCTACACTTTATATTATATACATCTACACTTTATATTATATACATCTATACTTTATATTACATACATCTACACTTTATATTATAGACATCTATACTTTATATTATATACATCTACACTTTATATTAATATACATCTACCATACACATCTACACTTTATATCATACACATCTACATTTTATATCATACACATCTACACTTTATATCATACACATCTACACTTTATATCATACTCATCTACACTTTATATCATACACATCTACACTTTATATTATATACATCTACATCCAACCGAATCCTTCCAATCGATTGATACTTCAGGGCTGTTGCCGTTCCACAAACAAACAACGCCAACATCCTGTAGCGCAATCAATTTTATTTTAAGTTCCCTATATACTCCCCATAAGTTCCCCAATACACTCCATGGACATCGAGAGAGTCCTATGCCCCCGTCTCGTGTATTTGACATTTCTTTCGCATGTTACTGTATTCTACAGATTCCAGCACCGGCAGTGGGGTTGCACAGGTGGCTGATGCATCGCCCACGGTGTCATCTTTAGCACTCGGTGAGTGGTTTATATATATATATATATATATGTGTGTGTGTGTGTGTGTGTGTGTGTGTGTGTGTGTGTGTGTGTGTGTGTGTGTGTGTGTATGTGTGTGTGTGTGTGTGTGTATGTGTGTGTGTTGGTTGTAGCGTGAAGGGTATTCACATCTCGTCAAGTGTGCTTTTGGTAAGTCGTTTTGTGTTGCTGTCTTCATTTATCACCCTGAAGTGAATGATAGGGCCTCTTCCCTTGGTGAGATGGCTTGTGGAGTGCTTCATCTTTTTTTTAGTGCGGCTTGGGTGTGGGGTAGTTCCTGTGGGATCACTTCTGGGAGTATTATGTGTGTGTGCCATTTCTCATACTCGACATTCAGCTCGGCATGACACTCAACTCGTATGCGCTGCGTCGGCGTCACTCAGCCATGTGCATACCCTCTGCTCAGTTGTACGAACTCACTCATGTGAGCTACACAATAATATCATTGCACGTATATCAGTATCATACGTTAAATTCCCACGCGACTATATATATATATATATGTATGTATATATATGTGTGTGTGTGCGTGTGTGTGTGTGTGTATGTATGTATATATTATGTATGTATGTATGTATATATGTAAGATATATGTATCTATGTAAGATATATGTATATATCTATCTATCTATTGTATATATATGAGTGTGTGTATGTGTGTGTGTGTGTAAATATATATATATATATATATATATATGTGTGTGTGTGTGTGTGTGTGTGTGTGTGTGTGTGTATATATG